AGGATTAAAGATACACAACCATACATTGATTCTATTAATAAACACATGTTAGAGCTTTTGCACTCTTGTCAGCTTGCAGCATTGCAAAAGAATGCATTTCTCGAGTCCAAACTAAGTATGCCTGCCAATTTCAACACAAGTTATTTATGCATTCCTCTTGTTTGAAAATTTTAAAAAGAGGATGACACTAAAATGAAATAAGGAGATGCACACAATACAAAAGGTCAAAATAATAACATTCCTTTTACAATGCTTTGTCAAAGTGCACTGACCTGAAGATGATTCCCCTCTCACAGTGGAGGGGGGAGAGGGGAACGAAACACGTAAATCATTCTCAAATCCATTCTCCATATTTTGCTGTGTTGGTGTTCCAAAAGGGTTTTAAACATTCTAGAATGTTGAAAAACTAAGGCCGATCTCATTTCCAAACCCTTCTGCTCTTTAATTCGTTTTATTTGCTTATTTGCTTAAGTCCCGTATTTGAGAGCCGCGGACCCACAGGTATGAGAAATTGGTAAGCGGAGCCGCGCTGCCAACCTAACCACGCTAATGACCTGATTCAAAAATATGTTTTGAATATTTCAAACGATACTAAACAACGATTTGAAACAAACTCGTGTTAGGGGGTGCTAAGGCGACGTTAAATACGAAATCCTGAAACTATAGCCACTGTAGTTGCTGAGAATCGTTGGTGAGAACAAACACACAGACAGACAGACAGACAGACGCACGACCAGTCACTTTTCAGCGCGCCCAAACACGGCAAGGGCTTCGCTATCGCTCAGCCAAATGAAAGGGGGTTTAGTTGACTTGATTCTTTTTACAATCGATACATAAAAACACAAGTTAAGTTATCTCCTATCAACAATATGTTCAACGGAGTCATGTTGACTTTGTTTGAGTTGTTTCCATTTTCCGCTAAATTCAGAGTGGAAAAGGGGTCAAGTTGAGTTGTATCTTTTATCAAAGTGCATTTTTTCCTGAACTGCTAGGAATTGGATAAAAAAAATTGGTGCAATGATGCAAACCATTCTAAGGCACAATTATGTAACAAAAACTCCTCCTTCCGCTTCCTGGATCATATACTCGGTGAAGGTAACTTGTCCAGCTGCAACAGCACGCCTGCAACAAAAAGTGGCACATTGGCATGAGAAGGTGCGCCCTTGAAGCCTTTCACTCGTTTCTGTTTTCTAGCAAATAAAGGACTGAGTCGCCTATTCAACCATGTGTGCATTCATCCAAACTAAAACTATACGAGAAACCACACCGGCATCTCCACAAAAAGACTTAGCGTGTAGTAGCAACCGGGTACAGAACCACACAGTGTGCCCGAACTTAAACGTACATTTTCGGAACCCAAATTCCGTACAAATTAAGTTGGTCTAAAATACCTTTTACTGGCAAATTTTTGTTTTAGCCCGCCTAGAAAAGAAATACTTAAGCACGCGACGCGTAATCTTTGACTTTCAGAAAATGCAAAATTCCTGTGTATTTTATATGGGAGTTTGCTGAAAATTGACTATGTGTTGCGGAGTTTAAAATCGCGACGACCACACGTGTCGGTCACTTGCATGCCAAAAACATTACTTTTAACAATTTTGTTTGTGCCGAACACTTATACAGGGGTATGGCAAGTTTCATCATAAACAGTGTAGGGGTCCGCGCGAGTAACGGAGTTAAGAATAAGAATTAGCTTTTTCCATGTTTCTCTGTAAATAATACAAGGCAAACACCAAAACTGATTTTAAAGTCACAAACCACACGGGAAATTCTCCGGCTAAGAATTGGCAAAAAAAATCTGTTTGAAGAAAAGTATTAAAATTTTAGTTTCTGGCCCTCTAGCTGCAGATTTGTTAACGAAGATGGAGGGCCAAAAAGGTGTAAAAAAGCGAGGGACAAAAGTAAGGGCACAGCTGGTACAGGGGGTACTAATACATAATAAAAATCGTCTTGGACGATAAAAAGACCAATATTTCCTCTTAAAAAATAGCTGAAATCAAACTTACAAGTTGATAAATAAGCTAGATGTGAGTCTTTTAAACTGCGTATTGGGCAAAGGGACAGTTTCGGAGTTCAGAATTTGCGGTTTTCTGGGTCGTTTTCTGGCATACCAGGGACTCAATTTAGTCGGTTTTTGTATGACGGTCTAAGTTAGGAAGTCGCCAACATATCAGGAACATTTTAACCCGGAGTCAAAAAACCTCTTCTGTGGCTGTACTGAGCCTAAAAAAGAGAGCACTCCCGTAATTTTTCTTCGTAATACGAACAAAATAGGTTGGTATTATGACTGCGCAGCGAAGTTGGTAACTCTGTAACTCGTGACCGCTTTCTTCATATTACGAACAAATTTCTTTCTATTATGACAGTTTTGTGTCGTAAAGTACTGAGAATTGGCTTAGTATTATGACTGCACGGCATTTCTCAATAGGAAATTAGGAGTGCGGGACAAAAGATGTACGCTTCGATGCAAACGACCTAATATCATGACGTTGAACGTGTCATGGTGGCTCGATACCTGACGTCAGTGGACGATCCCGCCCGTAGTGCAGTGAGCAAGACTACGGTTAGGAGGCTTGGACGTGTGATTTGTCGACGTCATCGTTGCTCCAGATGTCCTCTTAACGGACAAAAGTGTGCAAGGGGGACGTACCCGCATATATATAGGCCATTTTTCGTGCCACGTACACGAGCCGTCGGAAGCGATCGTGACTGACGCGATATTCTGAACACGACGTTAATAAGAACGTGACATGGCACAACGTAGTCGAGGGGGAGTCAATCACAAAAGTCGTGACCAGTCTACCGCATACAATTCGATCCTTACATTCTCAGATCCATATGGAATTTTCTTTCTCTTGCTTATAATTTTTTTGAGCAGACGTGAAATGTGGTATTTCCCCTTTGAGTACAGTTTTGATCGTTTTCGAGATAAAACTGTCTATAGATCATGTAGAAACCATGTACATTGCACTAAGGTACATTGCAAATGACAAAAAGTCAGGTTAAATGGACTATGTCGTTAACGAAATCCTGCATCATGCAAAGCTTAAGAGAAAATCGTATATTTTACCTTTGAAAAAAAAAAACTTTTGGGCAAGTGATAACTAGGGATACGCGCCGTACAGCGTGATCGCGAAGTGTGGCTGAGCGATGCGAATAAGTTTGTGCACTTCGGACTTTGCTTCTGTAGACAAATTTTACACTGAAAACGCAATGGTCGGACACATGGCCAAATTATGGCGTGACAAAAAGTCACGCCCAAAATTGGCGTGACACGAAATTCACGCCCCTGCAGCGGTTTGAAGTCACGCCGATAGGTTTTCAGCGATTGAGCGGTGCCAATGTACTGTACCGCAGAGCTTCTCAGTCCCCGCTAGATGTTTTCCATCCAAAATTTGTTCCATTTCTGCTCCAGACTAATATTTTCATCTCAAATTAGGGCGTTTTAGACCAAAATTTTGAGGTTGAGTTTTATATTGTTTCCTGCAGTTTTTGGTGTGCTGAACTCAAAAATGACTTCTAAATTGAAACTAAAACGTACATTTAACGACCAAGTCAACGTACAGGTTAGGTAAGAAACTTAATCTGTAGGAGATGGATTTGAAAAGAGAACGTTACTGCTGGTGCATTATTATTACTAAAGCGCCAGTAGGTACAGACGGAACTTAAGGAAAGTACTTAAGTGGAAAGTTCACTACAAGTTTAAAAGCAAAAGTAAATACGTAGGGTAAACTATACAGTTACCGTCAGTTTAGGAGCATCGCATTCTTTTCAAGGGACTCTAGGGTAGGTTATGACACTTAGACCCGTGCGACTTGTTCCAGACACCTCAGAAGGATCAAGACAACGAAGTGGCTGACAAAGATTTCACCAAAAACTTTTTGTGACGCTCTAATTTAACCTGAGAAAAAGATTGCCAAAAACACAGTTATCAGCAGCCAAAATACAGTTATCGGCACCGTTTATGACAGTTATCGGCACCCCTTGTTAAAAAGGCAAAACATGACCGAAAGTGACGAAAATTTCTAACAGTCGTCACATACACTCTTTATCACCCCTTGACATGTCACGAACCCCCTCTCTCTTCTTTTATGCCTCTTGGGCCCTTCATTCTAGACTCACGGACAACTAGCACCATGAGCTGCGAAAAAACAACCTTTCAAAGCGCCAAGGAGGACATTTCGTAAATCACGTAGATCACTGGGAAAAAGTGGTCCGATTTCATTCAAATTTGGCAGGGGTCTTCCTATGGTCATAATGCATCAGAATATTAACTCTCGGACGACACCCGAAACACCAGTAAAGTTTGAGGCCACCCTGACGATAACTGCGTTTGGGATGATTTCTCTGGTGCAGTTATCGGCACCCCCCGAATGAGGACAACCAAAGGAGAATTTCTGTGCACCAAGCACAGTATGCCCTCGTCAATAGATGGGGAGAAGGAACCTGGCGAAGAGAATAGTTTTTTCCGGCCCACATTTACGAATTTAACGAAAGATTGAACCCCTGTTCCTGGCATAGAAGATAAGAACGGGCGGCCAAAGCGACCTCTTTCTGCAATTGACAAGAAACGTGGCTCTGTTGGCTGACATGCTCAATCAAACGCGATGCTGTCTCGGTCCTCCATGCTCAAAAGGAGTCTCTAGCGACCTGCATTGGCCGCATCACTAACGGACGCGTCCTTGCAGAGCAGGACCCAATTATTCGGCGAGATGACGATACCGTACCCCTGCCGATAACTGTATAGTTTACCCTAGTAAACAGGCAGCAGACACCAAGCAACCTGTCCAGAGTAGGAGAGAAAGAAAAACGTAAAACGAAAAAAAAAACGAAAAAAAAGAAAAACTTTTTGAGGCTTCGATAATTTTGACAACTTTGACAATTCGATCCTTACATTCTCAGATCCATATGGAATTTTCTTTCTCTTGCATATAAATTTTTTTGAGCAGACGTGAAATGTGGTATTTCCCCTTTTGAGTACAGTTTTGATCGTTTTTGAGATAAAACTGTCTATAGATCATGTAGAAACCATGTACATTGCACTAAGGTAAATTGCAAATGACAAAAAGTCAGGTTAAATGGACTATGTCGTTAACGAAATCCTGCATCATGCAAAGCTTAAGAGAAAATCGTATATTTTACCTTTGAACAAAAAACTTTTGGGCAAGTGATTACTAGGGATACGCGCCGTACAGCGTGATCGCGTAGTGTGGCTGAGCGATGCGAATAAGTTTGTGCACTTCGGACTTTGCTTCTGTAGACAAATTCTACAACCTATGAGCTCTTATTACGTGAAATGTAGGTCTGGGGTATAAATGGAAGTGATTTTCTTTATCAGCACACTAAAAACTGTTACGATCAACGTCAAACTCATTTCATATTGGTCGAAATTCGGTAAAGCGTGAGTCTGGAAAAAATTTAGAAGTCATTTTTGAGTTCAGCACACCAAAAACCGCAGGAAACAATATAAAACTCAACCTCAAAATTTTGGTCTAAGACGCCCTAACTTGAGATGAAAATATAAGTCTGGAGCAGAAATGGAACAAATTTTGGATGGAAAACATCTAGCGGGGACTGAGAAGCTCTGCGGTACAGTACATTGGCACCGCTCAATCACTGACAAGGTAGGTTTACGCCAGACCGCGTCTTGTCGTAACAGGCTTCGCGATGTCTCGCTGCCTGTTCCTCCAATCCACGCCTGGCGTACCTACCTTGGCCTGCGGCGCTAGCCTGCCTGCGGCAGGCAATGGCTTGTCCGTTGTCGGTTATTTTTAGGGGTTCCCAAGAACCCCTATTGTCCGAGGTCCCTGGATTCTTCCCCCCCCCCCCCCCTTCGATTTTCAAATAAACAACTCTAAACTATTTCAACCATAAAAAAACGAAAATTCCAATTTTTTTCGAAAATTCATCGTAGAAATTTTCCGTAAACGCGAAAAACATAAATTTGCAACAATCGAAAACAAAAACCGTTAATGATATGAAAAAATTGTTCAAATAAAAAATGTGCCACTCCTCAAAACTAAACCTCCTGGCTCATCAAAGTAACAAGAAATCGTATATGTTCTGAGCAAATGGTCAAAACATGAAAAAAAATCTCCATGGCAACGGCATGGTCCCATCGTACCACCCGTCAAAATTTAAAGTCACCCATTTAAAAAAATCTAAACGCCGTGAAATTTGAAAATGCTGATGCTAACACATTGCACGGTGTCTCAACGTTGGAACATCTTTAAAGTCTGTCACTACTAAAAAGTTCGTAGCAGAAACGACGCATCAAATTAATTTTCGTGGGTTGGCACCAATATGCTTCCCGTCTGCGCCCTTTCGAAAATCGCGAGGCTGAAAGAACGGACAGGCGCCCATTGAAACTGCCCCTCCATTGTTGCTGAGGTTTGATTGTTTTGCATACTCTCAAAGGCTGCGGTTGTCTTGTCATGTTTTCCTCGATTTTCAACCAGTTATGGAAACGGGAACACCGTGCAATGCGATTAGCATTGGAATTTTTTAACTTGTTGAATGCTGGGGGGCTCCGCCCCCCAGACCCCCCTACATTGTAAATAGAGTTGTTTTATCTACAGATAACACGATCTTGACCCTTGTCACTTTTTAACTTGTCGGGGCGGAGCCCCCCAGACCCCCCTTTCTCCAAGACAGAAGTGGTCTATCTGCAGAAATCTCTATTTTTCGCCGTTTTTTAGGTGTTTTTCGGCAATAAAAACTGAACCAGTTGAGCTAGGATGGTGAAATTTCGCGTGTGCCGAGCCAAGGACATACCTAAGAAGTGTGCAAAATCTCACCGAGATCGGCCGAGCCGTTCAGGAGGAGTAGTGCGGACAGACAGACCGACAGACAGACAGACCGACAGACAGACCGACAGACAGACAGACAAAACTTTTCAACCCCACTGGAGTAACAGGCTTCGCTATCGCTCAGCCAAAAATCTATCGGCGTGACTTCAAACCGCTGCAGGGGCGTCAATTTCGTGTCACGCCAATTTTGGGCGTGACTTTTTGTCACGCCATAATTTGGCCATGCACCCAGAAAATCGTCTTCTAGATTTCAGTACAAAATGTACTAACGCATTCCTCTAATCGAATCCTTTAAACAGCATTCCAAAGATAAGGGGATCAGCTTAACGCCATTGTCATCTTATCCCATCCTCTAAAGTTTAGTACATGTTCTCAACAACGTTTGTAGCGGAATTTACGCTAAACAGCGCCTCTAAAGGTTTCGCGTTACCATTCTAAGAAAAAAAAGGTGATCCACTTGATATTAATATCTCTATCTCTGTTATTATTTTCAGTTGTTGTTTTGTTTAAAATATATTCCTAATGTTTATTTTGACATAATACATTATGTGAGGAGCTTTCGAACATATGCTAAATGCCAAGTTTTGTTTTCGCCATGATGACGGCTATGGACCATCCGCCATTTTGTTCGTTTCTCTGGCTTACCGGGCCGGAGTGGAAAACTGATCAAACTGTGCGTTTCGTGAGGGCCACCTTGATGAGGGCATGAACTTCAAAACATCACGATCAGCATCTACCCGAGGTAAAATGGTAAGTGACATTTACATTAGAAGCGTAATTTATTATATCATACACTGCTGCGGCTCGTAAAGTGTAAGTTTGCGG